AGTTTTCATGCCCTTCCAGCTGGGGGATTGGGGGAGGAATGTCTCTGTCATCAATGTTCTGCTGAGCGTTTACTTCCTCTACTTCCTCTATCATAGCAGTTTGCACCATGTTTGCGGCTGCTAATTCAAATTCGCCAGCCTCTTCAGCTCTGCGCATTCTCTCTTTCCTCGCCGCACATTCCGTTGGGTCTGCCACTTGTGCTAGTGGTATGTATTTTAAGTTATTTGACTTGATCAATGTCAACGATGATGGGACTGTTTTAAATTATGTTTATGGATGAGTAATTTAGAATCAGCTTTCTTTGTTTGAGTTGAAGAAGTCTACTGCAGATGAAAATGAAGCTCGTCTGACCTACTTTGCTTGGAAATTACCTCTCCCTGATACATCGGATAGGATCTTTTGACTTGCCACAAGAACGCGTATTCTTGCAACGGAAGCAAAGCAGAAGAAACGTCTTTTTACGTTCTTTTTAGTGATAGAAAAATATTGACAAGACCACAAGACTATAGCTTCCCACTCTTCATATTCGAGCCAAGACGAGTATGAGCAACAACATTCATGTAAGCAGGAGTGGATATTGCATAAATAATTTATTACAGCGGAGTTTACAAATTACAAGAATCCAAACTCAAGCGAATATGTTATCAAGGCGGTGTAATACAAGGAAAATAGAACAAAAACAACAAAAGAGAAGAAGTAGAACAATTGATTCTTATCTTACGGCATACACTCCCTTGCAGTATTCCATTATATGAATTCAACTTTAAAATTTTGGATATCAAATTATATTGCAAAAGACGATTTTTACTAATGACTAAAACAATTATGGTTCTCTTTCTCCACAACACCTTAACCTCCAGTTCAAATCACATAAACCAACAAGGAAGAAAGAGTATTGACCTATTAGTAATTCATGCAACGTATAACCCAAATTTTCACAGAACGTATAAATGGATTATATTTGTTTGATGAAAAAAATTTAAATCACATATACAATTGAAAACTATTTGAGAAACAATAAAGAATAATTTTCATTAAGATTAAGAAGATGTTCAATGCATGTTCACGCTTCTTGTGTTTCTACATCAAAAAGATGTTCATCAAGTTCTTGGTTCATTAATTTTTCATCTTCATCATCATGCACTTCGATTGGTAGAGATTTATCGCCAAACCGAGCTGGATGAGGATCACTAGTTTGAGCAAGAGGGTAGATTGTTGCTTGTTGTGGATCATCTAAACCAGTCCTTGCGAAATTGTCAGATAGATCTCCTTCTTCTTCTACGTTATGTGTCACCTCCTCCATGGCTTCATCGTCATCCTTGGACTTCCTTATCTTGCGAATCTTGCACAGGACCAGTTCTTGAAACGTATGTTCATCCGGTAGTGAATACTCGTACATAATCCAGCTACTATTGCTCCCAGGAACAACAACGACGGAAGTGTTGTCTCCTGTCTTTTGCTTCTTCTTATCGTTGTCGCTTTTAGTGAACTTCAGGGTTTGCTTTTTACCTATGATCTTCTTTGTTTTTTCGTCCTTGATATCTTGTTTAGCGTTAGCTTTCCAACTCCCAGTATCGGTGATCCTCCTCTTCGAGTTCCTACCACGACCAATGTTCTTCACTGACACTTGAGTCCTTGTCACGAAATAAAACCACTCGTTTTTTCTGAACAAAGGATTGTTGATATGGTCCAGCAACCATGGCTCCTTTTCGTAGACGTTCTTCATCTCGATGAAGTCATCATAATCTTCCTCTTCTGACTCGGGTTTGGAGTCTTCACAGTCTTCATCTTTTGACTTGGAGTCTTCACAGTCTTCATCTTTTGACTTGGAGTCTTCACAGTCTTCATCTTTTGACTTGGATTTTAGATACGTTTTTAACTTGAGTAGTAGATGCTTGTTGATGAGCTCTTCGTCTTCAGGATTAAAGTAAATTCCTCCATCTTCATCGTTATTTAACATGATATCATCAAGATCAAAGTAATCGCCTCCATCTTCATAGTTGTTTGACATCGCTTTTCAGGGTTTAGTTCTCAAGTTTGGCTCTACAAACGTGAGGTTACAACCTATTGATTTGTACGTATATTTATACTACTATTGATTTGTACGTGTAAGATTCTACAAAAGTGACGTACAACCTATTGATTTGTACGTATAATTTATACTACTATTAGGAATTTGTAAAACAAAATCAGTTTATTATCTTATCATCGTTGCAGTTTCCTATTTTCAATAACGGGTTGTTAAGAGAATTGAAGATAATGTTATGAAAATGTTAATGTATGTCTAGATTTTTCTTTATGAAGATAATGTTATATGATAAATTATATTTTGTTAATCGTATTTAGATTTTGGTTTTTATGAAGATAATGCTATGATAAATCATATGTTGTATATAGATTTTAATAGTAAAAAATATCCTATATTGTTAATCATTTTCCTTTTATGAAGATAGTGTTCAGATAAACCATATTTTATTTTGTTAATCGAATATATATATATATTCTTTTTATGAAGATAATGTTATGATAAATCAGATTTTGTTAATCGTATTTTGATAAATCCTACTGTGAGACCACGGTTGAATTTAAGTTAGTAAAATTTACATTTTTTTCTCAACAGTTAATAAAATTTACATATGAGAGTCTTAGACCAAAAAAATATTTTCATAAAAAATCATGTTACTCTAAATAAAATCGTCGTAAAAATTTATTCGCAAAAATATTTTCTTTAAAAAATCATGTTATCCTAAAATCATGACTCGGAGTGGGCAAGACAAGTAACTACGCATACTGTCCGCACACTGAATTGGTAATAATGTCAAATGCTCTTCTTCTTTTATGTTGTGAGAAGTTATATACTGCAATTATTATATTTGTCGAATGGACTTTCTGCAACAAGCTTAAGTGACCCTTGGAACATTTAAGATATGGGTATCTTCTCCTTTTAATGCACTTTCTTACTCATCGATCTCACTTTAAATGTTGAGTGGCATAAAAAGGTTGCATGCTTATTTCAAAGTTGAAATTTCTACTGAATGCTATGTACGTACTAATGCTAGTGAACACATGATCTTAGATATTTGATTATATCAGTCTTTTTGTGAAGTTCTTTAAGATGAGAATAAATATCTACCATGTAAAAAACAATTTTATACTTTTTATGTGGTTGGTGAATTGGATTTAAGTGAGATCTTTATTTTTTTCCTTTCGTAAGTTTTTTTTCAGATAGTATGTGAACTTCTGTTTTAATTCGTGGGTTGGGCGGAATTGCTTGTAAACATTTTCTATATATTTTTCTTGTAATTTCTTTAGGAAAAAAAACTTATTATCACAAGAGAGATGATGATTTTTCTTTGAATTTTTGGTGTTTTTGCTCCCTCTTTAGATTTAGTAGTGGATTCTGATACTGTTTTCAATTATTATGAATAATTTGTAACCTTTAAAACACATGTGCAATTACTAAAGTTAGCTCATTACTATAACTAAGATTTTTTTTTTTTGTAGGTCCATTTAAATTATGACTCCGGTAAAATATTTTGCAGGGTTCATCATTGCGTTGTACTAGCAATAAATATTCAATGTTATGTTATGTAGTTAGATACACAGTGAAAAAATATGTCCAAAATTCCAAATCAATATTATTTTCTCAATTTCAATTTAGTTTTCGTTGTAGACTAAATTTTTCGTTTTAAAATAAGTATTATTTTATAATTTAATGCAAAATTTATTAATTTTATCTATTATTATATTTTTGATTGGTTGAAATGTGATTATATGTATAAATAATTTTGTTTTCTTTTTAAATATATGTAAACTAAAATGTTTTTTTAATCTCTATACAAAAATCTAAAACGGAAACTATACTGAACTAGAGTGAATAACACATTTGCATTACAAAAACGATCATTATAAGACTTCCTTGGAAACTACAGTTTGAGCTGCGTCTGTGGACCCATTTAAACTTATTTAAATTTGTGAAATTAATCCCACGATCATCCCACCAACAGAGAACTTTTTATTAAACTATACGCACATAAAGATTATATACTCGCCCATTTCAAATTATATGATTTTTTAGAAGATTTATGTTGTTTAAATATATGATAATTTGAAATTTTAAGATTAATTTTATTTTTGTTAGAAACTGTTTAACAGTAAAATTTTATAATCTTTTTATAATTGATTTAACGATTTTAAAAGAATTGAAATAAGCTCTTTGTTGCAAACTAAGTACGAATCATGTCTTACAACTATTATATGTGATATATTTTTAAACGATTACAAAAAGAGACAACTTTTTTTTTTTAACTTTTGTTCTAATTAACGTTATATTATACGTTTCTTAAACAGCATTAAAATATACGATGCATCTATAATTGCTAATCTTTAAGAAAAGTCATTATACATAAAGTTTTTGTCAGTATGTTGGTAACAAGCACACGTAAACGTGCATACACACACGTGTAGGGACAACCTGCGATTCCCGCGCCATCGTTAATCAAGATACAATCTCAACCGCATGATTCTACAGTTTCCTTCGTTATCCACCGTTAGATCATGTTCGTTCCCAGTCACACTCACTCACCTGCTCACTCTCTAGCTTTTATTTATTCGGATCTTTCACATTGCTGATTTCACTCTCAAGTGATTTCTTTTGGCTCTCTACTTCGTCTTCTCCTCTACTGACTTGCGTCGATTCTGCATTCTTATCTCTTTAGCTGTTTGAGGTAATTTCCATCTCTGCTTTTCTTATAATTTCTCGGGAAAGTTTCGTCGCGTTGATTCGGTGGAAATGTTAGCCGTTTTGATGAGCTAAAATACGGTATAAGCGTCTTTAAAGCAGCTTTCTTCTAGCATAATGCTTCCTTTTGTGCTTATATACGAAGAATCTAACGAAGCGAATAGTTAAAACCCTAGGCAGTTTTAATTTCTATTCAAAATCGGACATTTGAGTTCATTACTTATTTGTTATTCTTCTCGGAGGTTTTACTGTTTTGGTTAACTCCAGTGTTCTAAAACACAGTCTAAGCGTCCACCTAGGCAGAATATAGACGCTATACATAAGTTACCATACTGTTTTTCATATTATACAGTATTTTATATGGATTAATATAGTTTGGGTGTTTAATACTATAATAGTGTTTAATCGGACGTTTATACAATTTTACGTGGACGTCTAGCGTTTTAAAACGATGGTTAATTTGAATTTTAAATATTTCCCCCATTTTCTGGATCCACCAAAAATTTTGAATCGAATGTGAAATTAAAATATATATTTGGTCGTATCTCAGTGTTTGTGATAGTTCCTCATAAATGCTGAGGAGAAATCATTTTAGCTGTTTCTTTGGGGGTAACGGGTCCATCGTTATGCATTTCTTTTGCGTCCATGCGGACCACTTTTCTTCTCATCCCTTTAAAATTCTAGACCTTTTCTTTGTATATTAATTTATTCTTTCTCTGTTTTCTTTGTATATTAATTGTTCTTTTCTCTGTTTTCTGATGCCGTGTGCACTCGGGAGAAGACCTCTCAGACATGCTTACATTACATGTCATATTTCTGATATGGTCTGGTAGCATTGAAAGATTTTAATGACTTGATGTGATTGATTTTGTTTTTTTGTTCATTTTTCATGATCCAGGATCGAGCTATGTCGGCTCTAAAGCGAGGTTGATTCAAAGACTATGTGAATCCAGTTATATTATCTCTAATGGAGTGCCGTTTGGAGAAAAGTTTTACTTCTTCAAGTGCTAAACCTTTGCAAACTCAAGTAAAACAATGCATGGAGGCTCAGGCTGGTGGTGGTGTTGAACATGAGCTTGTCAAGTATATGTCTAAGCTACCTGTTTTCTTGGAGAGAGCTGAAACCACCCCTCAGGAGAAGCTTTTGAGCGTTGGTGTTCTTGATTGGAGCCGCTTAGAGAAGTGGCACCATAGTCATAACCGGATGAACCAATCATTATATGCTTCATTGGTTCTGCCTAGAGATGAATCTTCTGCTGGGACAAGCAATGTGCATAAAAGTATTCCGTCTTGTCCAAGGAAACATCGTATCTCAACGAAAAAGAAACCTAAAGGCCATAGAGGTTTCAGCGTACAAGATGAGCAGTTTGCTCCAAAGACTGAGAAGAAGGATGTAATCTCTAAGGCTAATATTAGTAGAAGCAAGAAGAGTGAAAAGAAGTTGAGAGAAAGAATCTCTATAGAACATGATGAAGAAGTTGGTCAAAAGCAGCAAGGAGAAACCAAGTTCTATCACTCAACTAAGAAGCTGTCCCTAGAAGAGGCTAAGACTTCCAAGAAGAGTTCAACTAAAAAGGTTCAGGTTGTTCACGGTGTTGAAGTCGTTTCATCTGAGAAAGATACAACAACGACAAGCCATTTAAGAAGGTTTCTAGAACCTCTACTGAAGCCAAGAGCAACTCACTCTGCCAATTTGGGAATCACAGGTTGCAGAACAGTTAATGTCAATGATTCAGCTCACGAGAAGAAGGTGGTTCGAGCTGTTCTGCAGGTAACAGTTAGGAACAATCAGCCACTCTTTATATTTACAGTGAATAAAGAAACAAACATTATTGCGGCCACACAAAAGAAAATAGGAAGTGAGTGTATAAGTGTTTATACTTTCTTCTCTATTAAAGACCATAAGAGAAAGAGTTCATGGTTAAGCCAAAGAGGTAGAGGACAAACACATGGTATCATCATCTCTAATGTTGTTGCTCAGATGCGTGTCTCGAGCACTTTACCATCTGGTTCCATCAGAGAGTTTGTTCTCTTCTCTGTAGAACTTGATCAGGAAAGCACTGATCTGCAGTTGAGAAATGAGCTAGCTGCGATCATCGTGAAGATGCCAAGATGGGTTAAGGATCACAATGCACTAGATAAAGAGTGTGAAGATCACATCAAAGACATTAGTGCTACGGTCATACTTCAAAGTGGTGTTCATAGTATGCCTCATAAAGGAGGCCCTTCCTCTTTGATACAGAGATGGAGAACAGGTGGGTCTTGTGATTGTGAAGGTTGGGATATAGGCTGTAATCTAAGGGTTCTTACAAATCAGCATAGCTTCTCCTTCAAGAAATCAACAACATCAAACCCATTTGAGCTTTTCTTTCTGGTACAGATTCTCTACTCTAGTCCCAAATTTATCTGCTTATTTTCTTTCTCTTCCACATCAATACCTAGGCCTGGGATTTTGAACCGAACCGGACCAAAATTTTGGTTAGAAGTTCGGTTTGATTCAGTCAGTTTTCTAAAAAAACAATTTTCAGTTCGGCTTGAAGTCGGGTATTTCGGTTTTCTTCTTTAAATACCCGAACCATACCGAACTGGCTAAATGTCAAACCAAATTAACTAAATTTCAGTTCTAAATTTCGAACTGAACTCACCAAATTTAACCGTATTTATCAGAAATTTTAACAAAAGTAAACTAAAATCTAATACAAATCAAAAACTTCCCTAGAATTTTCAAAAACCAAACTGATCAAATACCAAACCAAACTTTATTTCGGATTAATTCGGTAAAAGTTATGTTGAACCAAAATATGCTAATCGTATAACCCGAACTAACCGAACCCGAAAGCCTATCATTACCAAAGAGCTTGATCATCACTTTGTTTCTTTCTTTCAGGGAGAACAAGCAGAAGAACATCCATTCTTGAGCTATAAACCAATAAAAGAAGGGATCTATTCAGTTGTATATGATTCATCTCTTTCACAACTACAAGCTTTCTCCATATGTATGGCACTTGCTGAGAGTAGGAAAATGTCAGAGTTCACCCTTGAACATGAAAGCTCATGTGATGAACATAAAAGCCAAAGCGGAAACCGTGTTAGTCCCGGACCAAGGTTCAAAACCTAATGGCAATACAGTTGGGTACTAAAATCCCATCCTGTTGGGCGGGCCTAGAGTTTATATTATTACTTCAAACCCAATTTTTTTACTTACAGGTAAGTGAACAGGTTAGTGTTAAGCCTAGTGTAAGACAGTTGCAGAGAATAAGAAAGTAGCAAGATCTCTCTTTAAATTAGCTAGTTTAATGGTGTATCCAAAAGATAAATGATCTTCCCAAATCTTATGTGTGAATATTTTATATATAATCCTCCCATATGTGTATAATGTTGGTCGACTTTCAAGCTGTGAAAATCTTTGGTCCCTGGAACTTCAAACGGCTTTAATCTTTTAAGTGGGCTTTTTTTATTGTTGCCATGTGATTCATTATCATGATGAATCTCTCTTTTGAGGCAGCCAAATCGAAACTGGATACACAAGAACCATGCATGGTTTTGAGCCTGCCTCAGCTGTTCAGACAAAATTCCACATAAAAATAATAGCAAATAGATGAGTTTCAGTTTTGTATAAACTGGAGTCTTTTTTGGTAAGTTCATTTGTTTAACTTTAATCTTTTAAAGTCGGAAAGTAGAATCTTATTTATAAGAAAACAATAAAAAGTTCCCATCGTTCACGTGAAGTTGTTGTTTATGTTGTCACAAAGACAGTCAGAAACAGAGTGGATTTTATAGCTTTATGCACTTTGAACACACAACAAGCAACATGGTAGACCCATCAATATCCAATTTGCCATATGCCCCAAAACAGACTATGATTCCTCACATCATTTAGAAGATTATCCGAGATTTCACAAAAAGACATGGTCTTTGTCTAAATGATTATCTGGATGTTCATTCTGATTTAAAAGAAAAATATTAATCAAAGTTAGACATCTCCATGGTTTAACCAATTTGCCAGATTGCACTAAGCATTTGTAAAGTGAATCAATTCTTAGAAGAATATATACAAGTTAGACCAAGAATTCGCTATACAAAAATATAAATTTTAGGTTTTGCTGCGCATATAGAATAATTTACAGGTACCAAAATATAATTTTGCTACTGATTTCTATATTTTCTTGAGCCAAGAGTCGAAGCAAGTCTTTGACACATGCAATTCAAGTCTTTGTTCAGAAGAAATATAATTATTTACTTCCCTTATTTTTGCTTATAGTGGTCCTGACTTTAGGTCACTTAAGAGCATCTTAATTTAGGCTAAAATGTGTTCCCCAAAGAACAACAAACATCTTCTTGGCACAGGCGTGAAGTCATCTTCTATCACTACTTTTCTTTACCATATATATCATCAAGATCCTCTTTGTCTCCACCAACCAACATTTGTTATTCTTATGAAAAATACAGATATGATGATTGATAGTATATGTCACTACATAAGCTTTTGACTTGCATATAAAATGCTTCAGGGACCTCTTTCGTTTTGTTGAGTCACCCGTCTGCGTCAGTTTAGCTGGAAAGTTCTTAGGGTATGGGTTCAAATGCACTTGTTTATATGTTAATTAAAAGGTGAAAACTAGATTTAAACAGTCTGGACTAAAATAACGTTTCTTGATCAAACCAGCATTTATAAAAGTGTTTAGTGTGGCGAAAACATTATTGGTTAACACTCAAATCGTTTTTATGTGTGAGTAAATAGGTTACAATATACTGCCATACTGGATATAGTACATAGATCAACCCTAATAATATTCACACCCACACGCATGCACACATGGTTTTGACTTTGACCATTCAGTTTACAGTTCTGTCCCTGATTTAGAAATCTCAAATCTGCATTGTTATCATATTTTTTCGTACAGTTCCCAAACTAATTATATATTTTATAAACCGGATATTTCAGAGTTGCTAAAACTCAAAATAGTTACTTTAAAATAAGCAAAACAATTTAGTCATCCATTTCACAAACATTCTTAAACTTTCATATCATTCATTTTTCCAATTCTCTACAATGTTATCTTCAAAAATTTGTGATATTTATATTGGGAACGATTGGTTGGACTGTAGATATAAAAATTTTACTGTAAAAATTTAATCTATAGAAACTTTTGATGTAGTTGTAGAAATTAAATAAATAAAGATATTCTTACAATAATATTTTTTGTTTTAAAAAATAAATCTCTAACTATTTTATTTTTTTGCTTTAATTTTAAAAACTAAAATATGATTGGTGATTTATATGATTATAGATAGAAATTAAAAAAAAAGAACCATTTGATACAATCAACTAAAAATATTTGTTTGATGGTGTCGTGATAAAAATAACATTATAAAATGGTGTTTGTGATCTATTTTTAGAAATTAGATCACACTGACAGATAAAATGGTACATATTATTTTGATGGAGTGATAAATTATTTTGAGTATTTGAAATTAAGAGTTTAAGAGAACAAAAATCAATTTGTTAGAAAATAAAATTTATCGAGGTTTAGATTAATTTTTAAGGAGATATATAACCAACTGATAAAAATTTTCTTTTTGGATATTTAAATGGACAGTAAATAATATGTCTTATTCACATAGTCACATGTGAAATTTGCAATTTCATACTTGAGAGTAATAGAGTTCTACTCTTCGTCAAATGGAAACGACTAGACTACCAACGATATAGTTGATGTATTTTAAGTGTTAGTAATATATAAACCAATTAATCATCCCACATATAGAAAAACTAAAAAAGAAACAACAAAAAAATGTTAGATACCAAAGTAAAAAGAGGAGAAAAGAGAGAGAGAAAAAAACATTGGATCCATCCACAAGTAAACACAGTATTATAATGTTTTTCTTTTCTTTTCAACAGTGTCTTCTTCAGTACGTGCGCTATATAAATTTTCTCACAGATTCCTTTCTCCTCGAGAAGAAAAAAGGAAACCTTTTTCTCTTTCTCTTCACATCTCAGGAAGTGACTCACAGACTCAGAAAAAAAAAGAATCTCTTTAGCTTCCTTATAACCTTTGATCAAAGTTTTCAATGGGACTTCGCTGCTCTAAGCTATCTCTCTGTTGGTGGCCAACACATCAGAAACCAACTCTCAACGACGCTTCTGATCTTGGTAAAGAAAATTATAAACAAAGAAAAAGTCTCAACCTTTACTACATTTATTACATTCTAAAAAAAATTGAGTTTTTTTTTTTAATTTAATTTTCCGACAGAAAACGGAACAGACGAGTTGCCGTCGTTTACTGAGTTCAGCTTCGACCAACTACGAGCAGCTACTTCAGGTTTCTCCACGGACAGCATCGTGTCCGAACACGGCGTTAAAGCTCCTAATGTCGTTTACAAAGGCAGACTCGAAGATGGGAGATGGATCGCTGTTAAACGCTTCAACAGATCCGCTTGGCCCGACACTCGTCAATTTCTTGTAAGAAACTCTCATAAAGTTTGTTCCTTTATTTATGGGTCTTGTCAATTTTTTCAATTGTTTGTTTTTTTTACTGTTCCATTTGATAAAGGAGGAAGCAAAAGCTGTGGGGCAGTTGAGGAGTGAGAGGTTAGCGAATTTGATTGGTTTCTGTTGTGAAGGAGATGAGAGATTGCTCGTTGCTGAGTTTATGCATTTTGAAACTCTCTCTAAGCATCTCTTCCACTGTAAGGCTTTAGATTAGTTAGCAACAGTCTACTTGTTTGGTCTGATTCTCTTTTGTCTTGTCTCAGTGTGATTTAGTTGGAAATTTATGTTTTTTGGCTCTTTATTAGTAGAAGATTACAAGATCTGTTAAAATAATGTGTGATGATGATAAATGCAGGGGATAGCGAGCCAATGAAGTGGGCGATGAGAGTGAGAGTGGCTTTGTATCTTGCACAAGCACTAGAGTATTGCAGTAGCAAAGGTCGTGCCTTGTACCATGATCTCAACGCTTACAGGATCTTGTTTGACCAGGTCTACTCTTGAGCCTTCCCATCTCTTTCTTATTGTGCTTAGATACATGTTCTAATAATATGAATTACAGGATGGTAACCCGAGACTATCTTGCTTTGGTCTTATGAAGAATAGTAGAGATGGGAAGAGTTACAGTACAAATCTGGCTTTCACACCTCCTGAGTACCTAAAAACAGGTCAGTTATTAATATGAGATGCAATGGAGTCGAGTAATGTTTTTAGTTATTATCAATGTTCAAGAAATAGCTAGACAGTGGTTAGGCACCTTATAGAAGATTATTGTTTACACATCTAGACCAACTTTTTGGACCAATTTTTAGAATACTAGTTATTATACTTATCTGATGAATCTGATGTGTGTTTGTTGTCAATACCATACAGGGAGAGTGATTCCAGAGAGTGTGGTCTACAGCTTCGGAACGCTGTTGTTAGATCTTCTCAGTGGCAAACACATACCACCAAGCCATGTAAGCGCACATATATAAGCACCTAAACACAGCTCAACTTTCTTGGGAAGTAAGTTCTTGATCTATGCTACTACCATTGATGTGCAGGCGCTTGATTTGATTCGTGGGAAGAACTTTCTGATGCTAATGGACTCAGCTCTTGAAGGTCATTTCTCAAATGATGATGGAGCCGATTTGGTTCGCTTAGCTTCACGTTGTTTGCAGTATGAAGCTCGTGAAAGGCCAAATGTGAAGTCTCTTGTGACCTCACTCGCTCCTCTTCAGAAGGAAACTGATGTATGCGCAGCACACTAAAAATCAACTTCCTCTTCATATCTTGTGGACTCATCTTCTTATTGTTTTCTTTCAGGTTCCTTCTTATGTCTTACTAGGGATTATTCCACATGGAGCTGCTTCTCCAAGAGAAGCAACCTCACTGAGCCCTCTTGGCGATGCTTGTTCAAGACTTGATCTCACCGCCATTCATGAGATTCTAGATGAAGTGGGGTACAAAGACGATGAGGGCACAGCAAATGAGGTATGAACATGAACGTGAAGCTTTAGGAGACTCTAAAACTCCACTGAGATCATTTTCATTTGCTATACAGCTCTCATTTCAAGTGTGGACCGACCAGCTTCAGGAGACGCTAAACTCCAAGAAACAGGGAGATGCTGCGTTCAAAGGAAGAGACTTTGTCACTACCATAGAATGTTACACGCAGGCAAGGAACAAAAAACTGGTTACTTAAAGAAAACACATGTTTGCCTGAAAACTTTAACTCAATCCGCGCTCTCTAATTGTATCTGCAGTTCATTGAAGATGGGACCATGGTATCGCCAACTGTTTTTGCAAGGAGGTGTTTGTGTTATCTGATGAGCAACATGCCTCAAGAGGCGCTTGGTGATGCAATGCAGGCGCAAGTAGTGTCTCCTGAGTGGCCAACGGCATTCTATCTTCAGGCTGCTGCTCTCTTCAGCCTTGGAATGGATAAAGACGCTTGTGAAACCCTTAAAGATGGAACTTCTTTGGAAGCCAAGAAATATAACAACAGAAACTGAAAAATTTAGGTTTCTTCTGAAGAAAAGCCTCATTGTCTTTTTTTTTTCTTTTTTTTATGAAGCATTTGAGCTAGCTCGTGCTTAAAATTGTGAGTCCCAATTTGAAGAGATGATTCAAAACTCAAATGTGATTTGAATCAAGAAAAGAAGGATCTTTCTCATTTAGATCCAAGATCCTTATCTGCTAGTGACTTCTTTTTGAACATAATTTAAGACAGCTAATCTATTCTATTACCAGTCTTTCAAAGCCAAGGATCTTTGTGCCTGGAGCCAAAAGAGCCAAGACCTTCATCTGGGTGGTTTTGCAAAAAAAAAAACAAGAGTTTTGTACCAAAACCTGCAACTGGTAACTGAGATTTCTTATTAGATGTTTAAAAACCAGAATATCTCATACAGAACAAGTTCATACATAAAGTACTAGCTAAACTCCAGGCTCAGTGATGCAGACCACATCATAATCCATCTCAAGAAACGTACATTACAAGTCTTTATAAGATGAACCGAAAAGGCAACCATCATCCAAAGTGTTTTATGGATCTTTTCCTACAAAGCTACCAGCGAATTCAAAAGTGACTCATCAAGTAACAAGAGCTGTATCTTCCAAAAGGTAAATAAGTAACCCAAAAACAAGGGAAGTAAACAACAGATCAGGCGGCTTGAACTTCAGCGGCGGGTGCAGAGTTTGTTGTTGCAGGTGTGCTCTTTGACAGGTTAGGGATATACTTCCAGCAGCGTTTGTGAACTCCACTTATCTTCTTCGGAGCTTCCGCAGCTCTCAACCCTGTATTTGTGAATATGTTAGTCTCACTGAAGCTGCATAAACCTTTAAAAAAGCGGACTTCAGCTGCATACAGAGTAAAAAAGACCTTTTTCACAGCAGAGAATCTTAAAACCAATGCAATTAAGTAGACCATCGAGTTTCAGATCATTTTACAGTGCGTAAAGGTTAAGACTTTCTAATCAATAGCGAGTAGGAACTTGGCATTACTTAATACATATAACGAAAGGTTCAGACTTTATGATCAGTAGTGCGTAGGTCCTTAGCACTAATTCATATACATGACGAAAAGGTTTAGCCTTTATGATCAATAGCAACTAGGAACTTAGCCTTACTTCATAAATTTAACGAAAAGGTTTAGACTTTGAGCAAACAATGAATAACAAAAAACAGAGAATAGAACAGAACACAAAACTCACCATCTTTGTGAACAATCCCCCACGCTTTACCATGCCTCCCATCCTGCATTTTGAATCCAAACAATCAAACAAAACAAACCCACAACAATTAAACACTTTGTAGTTACGAAATCTTCAAGTGATAGACCACAAGAATTAGCCAGAAAGAGAGAACCTTGTAGAGATTGATTTTAGTGATTTCATAAGAGACTCCCTCCCAATGAGATTTAGCCATATGGTATCCGATTCCCCAATTCGGTAAGAACTGAGCCACTTCGATTAGATTCTTCTTACTCTTCCTTCTTTTTGGTTTAATCGGATCGGAGCTAGGGTTTTCAGTTGTTGCCGCCGCCGCCGGGGCAGAGAAGTTTCTCAGGAGGTTTAGTGAGAGTCTGAAAGCCCCGACGGTTTCGGTTCGGGAGATTGCTCTGTTCATTAAAGTCGCCGCCATTGTCTTCCTCTCTCTTTCTCGTTCCGACACTGTTTGAGTTCTGATCGATCGGTGACTGAGGTTTAGGAGAAATGTTGAAGAGAACCACAAGTTTTGATTTATTCACAAACTGAACCAATACTATCTGTAAAATTACAATCTAACCCCGTTACTTCTGCGTGTTTACTAATTTGGCCTATATTTTTTGAAAACGTGGTTCTGTAAGCTTGAACCTCTTATTCCAAAATTTTTTTATTTTTTTATTTTGCTAATATTATTCCAAAAATGTTCAGCCACTACTTTCAATGATTGCACATATCGGTTATCGGGTTTGACATTTGTGAGTTGTATCAAAACATTTTCAACCTTCTTGTAAATACGCAATTTTCTATATACAATCAAAGTTTTAATCAGACACGCATAAGCTATAAAGCTTGTTAGAATCCCATCTATAATCTAACTTTGTGCAATAAATCTAGTTAGAAAACAAACACGGTACTAGTAGTGTTGTAAATCATTGATGATGATTAGTGAATTTAATGATGAGTTTCTCGTTCTATGTTGACTTTTTAGTAGTAGTAGTAGTAACCTACTAGTGGTCACGGAGGGTCTCTACTCTCTTGTCTGATGACGTGTCGAGCGTTGATTAGAAAACAGATTAAAGATTAGAAAAAAAGAAAAAGAAACCTTTTATCGTACTCTCTCTGTAGGGAAATAGTAATCACAGAGGAGATAGATAGATTGAGACTCTATACTTGATTCCCTGATTTCGTTTACGCCATTGAACTTCTCACTTTTCTTCATTACTACTCTAAATCATTGATTAAAGAATCATCATCATCATCATCTTAGTCAGAGGAGAGAGTTGAGCTATTTTGTGTTTTGGTTCATTTGACCAGTCGGTGCTTGTGAGATCTCGAGCTTATTTTTAAATAATAGAGCAATCGACAAAAATGGTGGATCGGATCGAGATCTCGTTCCTTGAGACTTTCATTTGCAGCGCTTTTGCTGCTTGTTTCGCTGAGGTATCTATCTACTCTCTTTTTAGCACTCTTTGATTGAAAGTTTGACTTGGTGATCTCCCATTGGATTCGATTAGAGTTAGTTATTTCTTCAGTTTGATTTTAACTGCCACTGATGAAGAAGCCAGAGAAGTATGATTTTAGATTTAGCTTTGATGATGGACTTAAAAGAGTCGTAGACTAGACCATCATAGCTAGACCTTGGCATTCGATTCTCGGTTCTGTTCTGGTTTGATTCTTTAGTTCTTGAGATTTAGGATCCAGGTATTTAGAAAATTTGGTTCGATTTCCATTCAATTATTTTGCTCTGATACCATGTCAAGATAGATGGATCCCATTTGGTTATGGTTAGTTTCTTGGTTTTCAGTTAATTCAGTTAAAATAGTTTCAGATTAAATATTATTTTTTAAAAATTTTCAGATAAAAATATTTTGGTAATTAGTTTTATTATATTCTGGTTTATAATAGGGATATTTTTAAACTATTTAATTATTTTACAACTAAGTTTAGTTAATATTTTTTTTGTCAACTAGTTAATATCTATAACATTATTTGAGAAGTAAATTTGCTTAGTTGTCAACTTCTCCATGATTTTAGGTTATTTTGCTTATTTTCATGTTTTAATAATTTATTATAAAATAAAAACGAATTTATGTTAATAATATTCTATTTTTAGAAAATATGTTAATTCTTTTGTATTAGATTGTTATCTTAAAAATATATTTTCAATTATAAAATTTAAGTGAATTTGCTGATTAATTTGTAACTTTCACGTTGAAAGTTAGAGCGGTTAATATCGTTTATATCCTTAATGAATAATTAAAAATTTTAATATAATTAAACATAAATAAAAAAGAATGTCAATGATTTTAGATTTATCTTTATCTAAAACTATTTTATATTGGGTTATAAAGTCTTTATTAACCTTGAAAAATAATTATATTAGTTAATATATAATTAATTATAAATTAAAAACGAATTTCATTTATTTGATAGTTATCCTTATTTTAAATTTTTTATATTATGGGATAAAGTCTTTATTTTCAAAAATAATTATATTTGTTAACATATAATTAATTCTAAATTAAAAATGAATCTCATGAATTTGATAATTATCTTTACCTAACTTTTTTATATTGTGTTATAAAGTCTTTATTAATGTTGAAAACTAATTCTATTTGTTAATATATAGTTAATTATGAAAAATCAATTCGCAAAGAATTTATGTATAGATAATTTATATTGTGTTATCCAAAACATTATTAAGATAATTTTTTATACTTTTTTGTTATATCTACAAATGATATTAATTTATTACTAAATGTTTTAAGTTCATGAGTATTTTCAAATATAAGTTGTGTAATGAAAATTATTTATATGATGATGAAAAATTTTATATATAAAAAGAATTTGTTTAATTTATTATTAAATATTTTGAGTCTATGAACTATAATTTATTATAATTTACATAAATTGATTATATATTTATTTATAGATATTAGTAAAATTATTAAGCCCGCAAGTGCGGGCAAAACACCTAGTTTATAAGTATATAAACTGTATTATAGAAATTTGTTCGGTTTCAGATTTTTGGTTCTTAAAATATAAGATATGTTTGGGTAATTGATAGTAAATGTGCCCAAGGCTGGTCATAGCTACCTTCACTTTCTTACACATCCCAAGAAAATCACCTTTGATTGTCTGGCCTACGACTCTTAAGTCCATTTCTTGACGCTTATCTAATAATTAATGAGCTATGGTTTAGTGTTTTGTTCAAAGTTATGACTTTTCAAATGTGTTTGGTTTATTCATGAACTCTATTGTAGTCTTTTGAGTCAAAAACCCTGATGAGTGATGTTGCAGTTATTTACTGTACCTTTGGACACAGCCAAAGTAAGGCTTCAGCTCCAAAAAAAGATCCCCACCGGAGACGGTGATAGTTTGCCCAAGTACAGAGGCTCTCTGGGTACACTATCTACCATTGCAAGAGAAGAAGGTATCTCAGGGCTTTGGAAAGGTGTTATTGCAGGACTACATCGTCAATGTATCTATGGTGGTTTAAGGATTGGTTTATATGAGCCTGTAAGTGAGTCTCACTTTTACTTCCATCTTCTTCTTTTTTATACTCACTTATGTTGCTATATCTGGCAGGTCAAGACACTTTTGGTTGGAAGTGATTTTATTGGGGATATTCCATTATATCAAAAGATTCTCGCAGCTTTGTTAACCGGTGAGTTCAGTTCTTGATTTTGATATGTATAGTTTGAGTGAAAACTTGACAATATCAAATGAGAATCTGTTATTGTTATATGAAAACAGGAGCTATAGCTATTATAGTAGCTAATCCGACCGATCTAGTAAAAGTTCGGCTTCAGTCAGAAGGAAAACTACCGGCTGGGGTTCCTAGGCGTTATGCAGGAGCTGTAGACGCTTATTTCACCATTGTGAAACTGGTTAGTAAACTAATCTTCGAATTAATAATGTCAAAATTACTTGATTAGCAGAGACTTATAATAGCCTTTTGATTTTATAAAACAGGAAGGAGTTGGTGCGCTGTGGACAGGGCTTGGTCCTAATATAGCAAGGAACGCTATTGTAAACGCTGCAGAGCTAGCTAGTTATGATCAAATCAAGGAGGTGTGATATTTTCTTTAACTAATCTTTAGTTGGTTTCTGAGAATGTTTTGGAGAAACTTGTGTTTTTGTTAGTACTAGTTTGTTTTTTAATACTTCCATACACGTTGCAGATAATTATGAAAATTCCAGGCTTCGGAGACAGTTTTCTAACTCATATGTTAGCTGGTTTAGCTGCAGGATTCTTTGCTGTCTGTATCGGTTCTCCAATTGATGTGGTAAGCATTCATTTTTCTTCCTTACATCAAGATTACAACATCATTTGAGTTATTTGGTTCTTCTTTGTATGGTGGCTCACAGGTGAAATCTAGAATGATGGGAGACTCTACTTACCGAAACACAATCGATTGCTTCATTAAAACCATGAAGACTGAGGTTGATTTGATATATTTTCCCAATCATCTTTTTCGTTTATACATTTTTTTTTCTCTTTTAATACCAATCAATATGTGTTCTGTAATGGTATCTTTTGCAGGGAATCATGGCCTTCTACAAAGGATTCATCCCGAATTTTACACGACTAGGAACGTGGAATGTTGTTATGTTCCTTACACTAGAACAAGTAATTATATAAACTCTTACTCCTATTTGATGATGATCAAGGCTATTCATCTTTTTTTTAATATTGTTCTCTCTGTTTCATCTTCTTTACTCTGTGACAGGTGAAGAAAGTGTTTCTAAGAGAAGTCTTGTACGATTGATTCCGTTCCATACATTGTTACATAAATTGATTCTAAAAACCTCGAATTGTTAGAGCATATACATATATATACTGAATGAGACAGCAGGAGGGTTACATGTTCCACTACACCAAGATGTGAGGAGTGTATGATGTGAGCTTGGTCATTTAAGAGTAATACTGAATCATATTCCTATCCAACTTTGATTTTCTTTTTTAGCAACAACTCTTTTATTTGAACGGACACTTTATTTCAATAACAACACACGACATGACATTACTGCTATATTTGTGTACTGACATGACAGTACAATTATAAGATATATTTGTGTGCAAATTGTCCCATCCATCAAATGGAACTGTAGAATGGCTATATTCTTAATTCTTTCTTCTGCTATGAATATTGAGCAAATTCACTCATAAATATTCTATAAAAATTATTTTTTTATTTTATGTATAAATCTTAATAAATATAAACTTTAAAAACATTTAAAAGAACTACATCTCTGGGATTTATAAGATTAAAATCTTCATATGATATATTTTTGACAATTTCTTCAGATTTTACTATTCGGATCTGACTTTCAATATTGGAGTGGATCACGTATCCTGGATAAGAAGTCCATCCTGATGTATACATCATCACCTCTTGAGCATAAACAATGAAAAAGGAGAAGCAAGATTGTTTCATAACCACACGTATATAGACATAATTTAAAACAGGGCCATCATCATTGAGCTTGTCAAAGAACTTAAACTACATGCAAGTAGCATTTCTTGATTTATAATAGAGATGTTGTTAATAAGAGATATGTGCACGTATGTACAATAACTGCTCTTTAGGACAGCGTAAAGCACAGAGCATTGTATCTGAAACTTGTCTTCAGACTAAATCTAATAAATCTAATAAATTGTTGACACAGGCAGTAAGGTATACTACTAATTCAAAAAGGAAAGAACATTTCTTAGCTTTTCTTTGAAAGTGTCTTCCATGTAGTAAGAAGCATATACATCTCCTCTCATGGGAAAGAAAGTGCAGAAGAATTTGAGTTACACAAACTAAGGAGAGAGAGAAGATCCCTGGTGCTCTAGATGGCTGGAGTTCTAGTATCAATGTGTTTCTGTTTCTGGATCATACTTTGTATCCATGTGACATCTCTGGTGTTAGCTCAAGAAGGTGATCAGTTTGTGTATTATAACTTCAGTAAAGCAGACCTGCATATTGATGGAATAGCAACTACCCGCGACGGTCCATTGCATCTTACAAATAAGACAGCGAGGAGAACTGGTCATGCTTTCCACAAACTTCCCATGAACTTCACAGATTCTTCATACTCCTTCTCAACAGAGTTTATCGTTGCAATTTTTCAATATCAAGGAGACAATCAAGGAATGGCTTTTGTGGTATCTCCTACCACAGACCTCAGGTATGGCGGCACTGAAACTTATGGTTTAGGGCTTTTTAATAAAACAAATGACGGAAAAAGTGAGAACCATATCTTGGCTGTAGAGCTTGATACTAATCAAAACCCTGAAGCATTTGACGAAAGCAGTAACCATGTGGGCATTGATATTAACAGTATAGCCTCGGTCGAATCTGCCAATGCTAGCTACTTTAATGCTACAGAGGGGAAGAATAAAACTATGCTGCTTGGGAGTGGAAATCATATTCTGATATGGATAGAATATGATGGATCAGAGAAGCTACTAAATGTAACGTTAGCTCCAGTACCAACTCCAAAGCCAGTTTCAGCTCTCATGTCAAGTTCCATCAAACCAAGTGTGCCTCTCTTGTCAAGATCCATCAATCTTTCCGCAATTTTCAATGAGACCATGGTTGTAGGTTTCTCTGGATCCACAGGCATATTCAGTAGTGACCAGTTTATCCTCGGGTGGAGTTTCAAGAAAGGCGGAAAAGCAGAAAGCCTTGACCTCTCAAAGATTTCGGATCCTGCATTTCAGAGAAGTCCACCAATTTCCAGGCCTAGTTCTCTGGCACCTCTATTTCTAGCGATTTATCTATTTGCTATCCCTGGAATTATTTTCGTGGTACTAGGTGTAATTTGGTACATTTGCAAGAGAAAGAAGTACGCAGAAGTGCTCGAACAGTGGGAACAAGAATACATCCCACAAAGGTATTCATTTAAAAAACTCTACAAAGCAACCAAAGGTTTCAAGGAGAGTCAGCTACTTGGAGCTGGAGGTTTTGGAAAAGTATACAAAGGAGAACTTCGCTCCGGTACTCAAATCGCAGTTAAGCGAGTCTCCCATGATGCACAACAAGGAATGCAACAATACGTCGCGGAAATCGCTAGTATGGGACGTCTAAGGCACAAAAACTTGGTGCAGCTCCTTGGCTACTGTAGACGCAAAGGTGAACTGCTTTTGGTTTATGAATACATGCCAAACGGAAGCCTGGATGATTACTTGTTCAATAACGACAAGGTGAAAGACATCACTTGGTGTCAGAGATTGAATATAGTCAAGGGAGTAGCATCTGCTCTTTTGTATCTCCATGAAGACTGGGAACAAGTTGTGTTACATAGAGATATAAAAGCTAGCAACATTCTTTTGGACGCTGATCTAAATGGAAGGTTGGGAGATTTTGGGCTTGCGAGATTCCATGATCGTGGCACGAATCTAGAAGCAACGAGTGTGGTAGGAACCATAGGCTACATGGCACCAGAGCTTACTACAATGGGAGTGACCACTACCTGGACCGATGTCTATGCTTTTGGAGCTTTCCTTCTTGAGGTGGTTTGCGGAAGGAGGCCAATAGACACTCAAAGACCACTTGAGGAGATGATTTTACTTAAATGGGTTGTTGGTTGCGGAAGCATAGATAATTTAATGCAAACTGTTGACAGTAAACTGGAAGGGAACTTCGATGCTGGAGAGGCCGAGCTGCTTTTGAAGCTAGGCATGCTGTGTTCGCAGAGTAGCCCAGAAGACAGGCCTAGCATGAGACAAATAGTACACTACCTGGAAGGAATTGCGAGTATTCCAGACATTTCATTTGTTAAAGCTGGATTTGGTATGTCAAATATAAGCAAGGAAACAGTAACGGAAATGACGGCTACCTCCTCCTCGGCTAATTTCTCATTTGAGGACGTTACAGTACTATTTGGTGGTCGCTAGCCTAAAAAGCATACAACCCTTGATGCTGCTGTAACTATGACTAAGTTTCTTTTTCATGTGATTGTTTATATCTGTTTGTGATGTTTTGTTTGCAATTTTGTTGTGCCAGTGTAACTACTTTCTTTTCTCAAAGCTAGCATCCCTTGATGCTTGGAAAGGAAATAACCTTTTTTTCCAAACGATATGTGTAACCTGTTTTGGGTTTTTTCAACTTTCAGACTTTTAAACTGCATTTGCAACATTACATCTTATATGCTTTTCATTTCATTTGTTTATTTAATTTTGATAAACTTTTTTTATGTTATGTAATCAATGATAACATAAATAATTTATGGACTGTAAGTAGGCCGACCATATTAGTATTGGGCCAAACCCAAACCCTTAAATTTATTTAAAATATTTAAAAGAAAAAAAAAGAAACTTAATAATTTAAACTTTGACCAAAAAACTAAAATAATTTAAGCTTCTTTTTTTGTCAAATAATTTAGGGCTTATTTATGAAATACTTAAGAAAAAAAATTAGTTGTGTAAAAAAAGAATAGAGAGAGATAAGAAGAGAAAAGAGGAGAGAGGATATGATTTTGGTCATTTGTGAATTATGAATTTTTTTGTTAGCTTTATCACCTAATTTCTCAAATAATTTAAGCATCTCAATCAGATAGAATAATAAGAGCATCTCAGAGATGGTGACAGAGAGACTAATCCACTGTCGTTTTGACGTTATTTTTTCCTCAAAAAGTTTCCAAAAATAAATAATCCATCTAATGCGTAAGAGGTCTGGATTCGTCAAAGAAAGGTCTTCCCAGAATCCATACGATTCCCTTCTTCCTCCTCCTCCTCCCCGGATCTTCCTCCCTCCGATCCACTTCCTTTCCCTCCTCCCTAGCTTCAATGGTTTCCTGATTTCAAGGTAACACTTAGCTTCTGCAGTCTCAGATCCACCATTAGTCTATGGAAGAGGAAAGCTGTTAGAGAGTTTGTTATTTTCTTCAGTCATAAAACTTTGGAAGAGTTTTAGTTGTTATTAGTTAGTTAGAGAGAAATGGATGAAGAGGCATCTTCTTGGATTAGGAGAACAAAGTTCTCTCAAACTGTTTCTTACCGTCTCAACTCCCCAAAGTTATCATCTTTCCCTCTAAACACTTCTCCCCTCACAACAAAACCTGTTCCAACTAACTCACAAACCATTACAACTCAAGATTCCACTACTACCCAAGTTGTTGACTCCCAAGTACAGACACACCCTGTAACCAACAAACAGAGGTCTGTCTCCCCTTCACCTCAGACAGCGCCACTTCCCGATGTCTTCAAGGAAGCTAGGTCTGAGCGTAAGAGGTTCTCTACTCCCCACCCGAGAAGAATGGACTCTGAGAAGGGGATGAAGCCTAAGCTATCCCATAAAAACTCTTTTGACAAGAGAAGATCGTTCAACTTACGGTCCCCGTCGGTTCCTATCAGAGATCTAAGCACACTGAGGATTCAGGAGAGGGTGAAGAGCAAGAAGGATGCCGGATGGTCTAAGATTTTCGATAATACGGGGCGTAAAGTGAGTGCTGACGATGCTGCTGAAGAGTATCGTATTGATATGTCGAAGCTTTTCTTTGGGGTGAGGTTTGCTCATGGGTTGTATAGCAGACTGTACCATGGGAAGTATGAAGATAAAGCTGTTGCTGTGAAGCTTATCACTGTACCTGAGGATGATGAGAATGGATGTTTGGGAGCACGTTTAGAGAAACAGTTTACTAAGGAAGTCACACTTTTGTCGCGGTTGTCCCATCCGAATGTTATCAAGGTGGAGTTGATTCTCTTTATTCTTTGTTAGTGCAAGTCAATGTTCTAAAAATCGGTCTAGGCGGTAAATTGGTCTTGTCAGGAACATTTTATACTACTTTAATCGGTTAAATCGGTCTAAATCTCTACAATCAGTAATGTTAGTTTAAATCTATAAATTTGTCTATCTAGTTTAATAGTTCATGAGTATAATGTATAATTAAACATACAACTAAAATGTCTGATATAAATGTAAAACATATACAAATAAATTAATAATACGTTAAAGTTCAATAGTTGCTTAGTTAGTGAACATTGGTACAAGTGGAATGATAGTTATGGTTTGTGCTAAATTTTCTTCTCTTATTTGTTGTGCTAAAACAGTTTGTGGGAGCGTATAAAGATCCGCCTGCATATTGTGTCCTCACAGAGTATTTACCTCAAGGATGTCTAAGATCTTTTCTGAACAAGCCTGAGAATAGGTCTCTTTCTTTGAAAAAGCTGATAGACTTTGCTCTGGATATTGCAAGAGGAATGGAGTATATTCACTCTCAACACATTATTCATCGGGATCTTAAGCCAGAAAATGTATTGATCGACGAAGACTTCCAATTAAAGATTGCTGACTTTGGCATAGCTTGTGAGGAGGAGTACTGTGACATGCTGGCTGATGATCCAGGGACTTATAGGTGGATGGCACCTGAAATGATAAAAAGGAAACCACATGGGCGAAAGGCTGATGTTTACAGCTTTGGACTCGTTCTATGGGAAATGATAGCTGGAGCTATTCCTTATGAGGACATGAATCCTATTCAAGCTGCTTTTGCAGTTGTACACAAGGTAACTTTGTTGTTTATAATGTCTATCTTTGGTGCAGAACCTTATGAGGAGCAATGCCTTGTGAGGTCCTGTGTTGTTTATAATGTTGATCTTTTCGTGCAGAACATTAGGCCAGCTATCCCTGAAGATTGCCCAGGGGCCATGAAAGCTCTGATTGAGCAGTGTTGGTCGGTTGCACCGGACAAGAGACCGGAGTTCTGGCAGATAGTGAAAGTACTTGAACAGTTTAGGGTTTCACTGGAACGTGAAGGGAGCTTGAATCTGACATCAAACAAGATCTGCAAGGATCCAAGAAAGAGTCTGAAACATTGGATTAAGAAGCTTGGACCGCAAGGAGGAGGATCAGCAGGAGGAGGCAGCAGCAGCAGCGGCCTTGGTCGCTCTGCCTTGCCTACCCCTAAATTCGCTTGAGAGATGTGATGTCTCTCTTCTGTATATTTATATATAAAATACTCCCAAAAAGGGTTCTACGTTGTGTCCTGTCCTGGCTTTGTGGGTTGTGATGTAATCTTTCATCTTCTTCTCTAGATTTGTTGTGTAATGACAATCAAACTGGGGACTGGTTTGTGATTTGGTGTTTATGAGTTTCATTAACGTTACTCTACTAGTCGCACAAAATACTGTTAAACTCTATCCATCTCTTCTCACCATTTATATAATAAGAAGAAGACGTTCATAGTGTTCACTTCTGTATGTTTTCACAAGTTTATTGTATCACAACTCTTTTGTACCTTACTCAAGATCATACCCTTTCTCTTGAAGCTCAGTCATGACCTCATTCCTCATCCTCAACCACAGTTTCTGAGCCTCTTTATCAAACTTCTTCTTCTCCATTTCTTTCTGGTAATTATCAGCTTCACCTTCGGATTCAACAACTCCTTTAGGCCCAATCGCTGTACCGATCATTCCTCCCTTTGCAACGAAATCCTCCATGGCCTCTTTATCACCTGGATAAGGAAACTCACGACGCTCATACAAATGAGCCAACTCTCTCTCCTCCTTTGGTCTTGGCTTCAACGTCCACCACCCGAGAGGAGACGTTTCGTTGTATAACCATGCCATGCCGAAGATTGTGTAGGTGCATAACAACGCTTTACCCACTTAAAACAATATATTTAAACAAGCCCACATTTTAGACTATACTTAAGCAATCTATTTTACTTTCCTATGATTTCTCCACCTACAAAATTTCTATGAATCTAGGATATATATACATTTTGTGACTTTGTTTGTTTAAGTTTGTTCAACTCTTTTTGAAATAAAAGTCTAGAGGTTATACTGATTAATTATAAACTTAATTGAATTAATGGACCATATTTAGATTAACCAATTCATAACGTAAGTGGGGAATAATTTCGCACTAACCTCTAACTAAAACAATTACGCTCGCAAATCAATATAATGGACTTATATATAGATTAACCAATTTTATAACGTAAGTGGAAAGTAATTTTGCACTAATTACTAGCTAAAACAAACCACTACATTTACCTGAACAAAATGTTGGCAAAAAATTACTTGAAACGCACAAATAATAAACGATAAAGGTTTAAACTGTAAATTGAAGAAAATATTCGGCTACAGATTAAAGAAGCAAATAAGACGTTGGAATCTTATGTTCTATAGAAAGTTTTACGAACATAAATTATTAAAGTAACCGAAGAGAAGAAATATAGAGAATGACCATAATCATGCATGATAACAATGATCGCATAATATCACCATGATCATGTTGGTAGCTAGAACAGTGGGAAACATTTGTTGCTACCTTGAATAGAACCAGATAGCATCTCCATCAGATCCATCTCTCTTCTTTCGCCTGTAGAGTTAGCATTAGGGACAAGCATCTCGCTATGGCCTCCCTGCTCCACTGTTGTCGATGACGTGGAAGATGAGGAAGACGGAAAATGCGGGTTGGAGTAGGACGACGCCGTACCATTCAATAAGTAAGACAAGTAGACATCAGACGCAAGGTGCGGAGTAGTAGACACAGGAACAGTAACCGTTGCCTGATCCTGATGATGAGTCCATACACTTTTGTGCGAGTTAGGGTTCTTGATCGTGAACCGAGATGATAAAGACTGGTTTACCTCGTCAGAAGTTTGGTTCAGACCAATGTTGTCAAGAGAAACCGGATGGTTTGCAAAGATGTTTTGTAGGTAAACAAGCTCTTCGTCATATGGGTCTCCAAGGACCGACGATGAAGAATCTCCATCCGAATAGGTCTGATCAAGATTCGGTGTAGAAAGTACCTTGATGGAGTTCACATTATCTTCATTGTCTTTGTTGTTGACATTATTGTCGATGCTTCTGATGTAGTCTTGGAGAATGCATGGCCTTTTAGCTGCTGGAGAGAGATCGCTACCGTCGCTATCCGCGTTTGCTTGACGACGTTTTTGTTTGCGTTTTGAGTTTTGGCGTCTTTTAGTCGCGTTCCAATGATTCTTGATAGAGTTCTCGGTGCGTCCTTGTATGAGTTTAGCGATCTCTGCCCACTTGTTACCAATTTTTTTGTGTTCTTCTACAAGAACCCTTTCTTCTTCTTCACTCCATCCATCTTTCTGAAAATACACGACAAAAACGTAGATAGAGACTTATGTTAATTAGAACCCTAGATCTACACAAACATGTATCTATATTTATATAATAAATATTAAAAAATTTACAAAAACATATGCTATAGGTATAAAACACAAAAGAAGTTAAATCATTAGGACAAAACCTTGATATCAGGACGAAGATGATTATGCCATCTCTCACGACATTGTTTGCCTGCTCTTCCCTCAAGTGTTTCCGAGATCAATGCCCATTTCCTCTCTCCAAATTGCCTCACTAACCTTATCAACTTCCTATACATTTACGTTCGTATTTACAAATGCATAACTATTAATTTAGATTTTTATATTAAGGATAAATCAATCTATGTCAATATACATAAAATTATGTCTGTAAACATATACCTGTCTTCTTCAGCCGTCCATTGCCCTTTGATAAGATTCTTGCATGGTCGCTTCTTCGTAGGGTTTTGAGAATCTCTGGTTGCATCTTTTACGACCAATTGTTTCTCCGTCCTTGGACCAAAGGTAAGATTCTCTTTGTTGTCACTTTTGATCTCAATCGCCTTTGTCTTCATCATGATCGGTGGGTGTCGGTCTCTAGAACAATCTTGTTTCTTGGGACACAAGGTATCATTCTTTTGACCGTATAAGAATCTCTCCACCGCGGTCAACGGAGGCGCTGCTCCGTGGACAAGGCGTCGATGCTCCATAGAGGAAAAATAAAAGATTAATAGAATGGAGAGGAGAGCACAAAGAGGAGTTTAGCTAGTATCAAGGAATATGAGAGAGCTTAATCAGTTGCTATATAGACTAATGAATTAATTACCCATTAAATTATACTAATTCTTATATTTAAAAAAAATATAAAACGAAATAAAAATGTATATGCATTTAAAGTTAAAAGAAAATAATAAAGAGAAGCTGATTAAGAAGACTAGAAAATCTGATAACTAAAACGTATCAATATTTTAATTGATTACTATATTTAGTAATATAGGCTTATTAGTCAGTAAATTTCAAGTCGATATTTCTCCAAAACTCTCTCAATTCATTTCCTATTATATAAACGTTATACGACGCTATTGCTGTTTATTAAACAGTATTTACCAGCAAACATAAGTCGATTGTAGAACAATATCCAATAGTTTTCTAATGACTACTCGCTTGTGTGGCAGCAAAACTCATCAACTTTAGTCGTCTTTTAATTATTTTCATTTTGTGATATAAGTAAAATATTAACTAAAAATACTATTTGATAAAAAAAAATTTAACTAAAAATACTTAAATAGGAAAGGCAATTAAGACCGTGCAATATGCCAAATGGCGACAGAGCTAGTTGGTTGGTTAGTCTTTAGCTAATGGTAATTTTGATTAAATTAATCTGATCAGGTAAAGACGATCACATCCTCGTAAGAGAAACAAGACCTATAATGTGAATAAAGGGTAGTTTAGGAATAGTCAAAGTTATTTTGTTTGTAAATTTGTAACTGACCAAGTGGTAAATGGAGAGACCATCAATGGGAATTTATTTGGCGCCAAATGAAAATATGGAAAGATAGTTATGCAATGAGTTAATGATTAGTTGACTAATGACTACCAGTAATTATTTTCGAAGGACCGATTAAGGAGAAGACTAAGCCATTCAGCCACATTTAACTGTTCTGAGTTTTGAGTAACGTATTCTGAATAAAAATTTCAATACTTTTTGTGACAGTGATTTCAATAATCTCTTGGCCCTTTTTTAATCGTAAAGAAATATCCTTATAACTAATATTTTCTCAGTTTGTTGGGTCCTTAAATCATATAAAAATGGGCTTATGTGGGTGTAAGCTTCACTTTCACCTTCTGCTATATAACTGTGCTTAAGAGTTAAGACATTAACGAGATGACTCAAACATAAGGATTATATTGATTTATTAGATAAAATATGATGATTATTAGATTGAATCATCATTAGGAACATCAGTATAAATAACAATGGGGCTTCTAACTTTATGGGTGCCATCAAACCATATTAAACTTGCAGAAGAAGGCATCTTTGGGTCGATACTGCTGCCTGAAACAGTCACGGTGAAAGACTGCTTCTCCTTCACAGTTTTCATAGCTAGAACACTAGGAGAGACCTCGACATTGAGCTTAGACCCATGATTTAAGACAATCTGCGATTTGTATGTAGAGTTGGGGGTACCGACGTTGGTGACAGTTCTGTTGAAAGTGACGGTGAAGGAGCTATTAGGTTTCAAAATTTTAGCCGACATTGAAGGATAGTTGAGGTTTCTTGGTAAAGTATTTCCACTGCAAGTAACAGCTTCACCGGTAATGAGTTTAAGGGTTTTGGAAGTGTAGTTTAAGCCGCAGAGAAAGGTGATGTGGTCTGCTTTGTCCAGCTCATAGACAAGTCCAGGATTTAAAGCAGCTATTGGGTCGACATGGCCAGCTCCATAAGCGAACTCGGTTGATACAACCCCAGTTTCAGAAGCATTCATTGACCAAGCTGCAAATGTTAATTAAGAGACATTATATAAGGTTACTTGTGATACAAGAAATTAAAAGCTGTATATGAGTTTTCCGTTACCAGTTGTCATGATGGCAGATTGGATCACGGCTGGAGACCAGTCAGGATGAAAAGTTTTGATGTATGCAGCCACGCCTGTAGCGTGTGGACAAGACATTGAAGTTCCAGATAGAACAGAGTAATTCACATGTCTGTCGTCTATATCTGAAGTTGGTGAAGCCAAAGGTGAATAGGCAGCGAGAATCTCCACTCCTGGTGCTGTTATATCCGGCTGCATTTCAATCAACATTTGTCTCTTAAAATCATTTTTGTAAACAAAAATCGAAGAAAGATAAAACAGTATATGTCACCTTAAGAAGGTCTACAGCGATAGGGTTTGGCCCGCGAGAAGAGAATGGAATAACTTTAGGAGCTTTCTGAGTAAATACTGCCTCAGTTTTTAGGACAGTGCCTTGAGTGGACCTGAGGAAAACAAACATAGATATATCAAGACAAAGGAAAAATCTGAAGCATAGTTAAGTGCTTGAACAGAGAGAGTTACTTTGTGGAGTTAACGTAAGAGACAAGAAATTCAAAGTCATCTGATGATAGAGAAGAGAGGGGACGGGCGCTAACGGTGGCATAGTTTATGTAGTCTTTATTTATGGTTGCAACAGCTACATCTGAGCTAAATGAATATACGCTCACCAATATTTTTCCCTTCACCTGATCAGATCCTTGGTTGACAAGAGGATAGTTCTTTCCTTCCAGATCAAAAGCATTTACTGATCTCCCCTGTTATAAGACACAAACAAATGTCTGAAAGGGACAAATAAAGAAGATACCACAAGTGTTCATAGGAATGAGAATGGTTACCACAAGTGTCTTGCCGTTTTGGATAACAACTTTGGTGAGAAACTCACGGTTTGTTGTGCTGGCTCCAACGGTTAATATCCACGGCGCAACGCTACTAACTGTGGTTGGACTCGGACCGCTATTACCGGCTGCGTTCACAGTGAGGATCCCTTTGGCCATAGCGTGGAAAGCCCCGATAGCAATGGGGTCCTCTTCATACCCACGGGCCCCTCCCCCTCCCCCTCCCCCGATGGAGATGCTGATAAAGTCCACACCATCTGCTATTGCATCATCAAATGCAGACAGTACAGCATCATCGCTGCACCCAGTGCTGTCGCAGACTTTGTAAGCAGCGATTCTAGCTGCTGGAACACCGCCTCTAGCTGTTCCATTGCCGATTCCAAAGAAGCTTGCCTCGGCAACAGCATTTCCAGCCGCGATGGATGATGTGTGTGAACCGTGGCCATCGAGGTCCCTGGTGCCTTCGCCTGTGTAGTCTCTTGCTCCTATCAACTTGCTGAAAAACATTGTAACCAACGTCAGCCTCTTCCTTATCAAAAATACTAATATTACAAGAGACATTTAATTTGGAGAATTACTTGTTGCAAGTGAAATTTTTGCCGCCGGAACAAACACCTTTCCATTTCTTTGGAGGAGGACCAAAGCCTTTGTCAGAGAAGCTCTCTGATTCTGGCCAAATACCAGTGTCAATAAGACCGATGATACTGTCACTTTCTACGGCTAGGTTTCGCTTTGTATTATTTCCATCTTTTAACCCCATGAAATCCCAAGATGCTGTTGTTTGGATTTGTAACTTCTTGCTCCGGAACACAGACACAACTCCGTCCATTTCTAAAACAAAATTCAGACATTGGTTTCAGTTATCTAAGAATATAAGTAGGATTCAGCATAAAATATCCGTAACTCAAAATCCAAACTTAATCCGAACCGAAAATCTGATCCTTACCTGGTCTGAAATGTAAGAAATAGCCTAATGGTCTTGTAAGGTATTACGAAATATATCCGAAACCAAGGTATTATTAAACGAACCCGAAAAACAAAAACAAAAATCTCCGAAGAAAACCGTTCCAAACATCTAATTAATATACAATATAAATATTTAAAACATAAATATGTACTTTAAATATTTAACTTCATATTTATTTTGATATAGTATCTACCAATAAGTATTTGAATTTTAAAAAAAAATACCTTAAGTACTCAATTTTATATAAATAATTATATATTTATTATGATTTATTTTTAAATTTTAGATTTTACTTCAGGTATATCCGAACTGATATGATATAATATAAATCTGAATAATATATGATTACTTTATGGGTTCTAAGATGTGATATAAAACTGATCCAAAACCGATGTGTTATATCTGAACCAGATCTATACTTTCAAATGTACTATAATGAGATTTAGGAAGTGTTATAAAATAAAACTTAAATCCGAAAATCCAATTTGAATGGGTACCTAATCATGCCTAAACATAATTGTGTGCATGTTAAAAAGATAAGTGTGTCTCTGTCAAAGATTACTCACCTGCTATTCTTTCTCGTTCTGGCTCAGAGAGCCGGGCAGCGAACCCATTGAAACCCCTCTTGTAACTTCTCACCAAACGATCGTCGATGGATCTGTATATATAATATATGTGTATAATAGATGTATCACTTGTTAGAATCCTCATCATAGAGTAAACTAATTATCACTTAGAAAATGAATCTGTTAATTAGCACCTTTCTCCAGTGATCTCTTGAAGGATGCTCATGTGATGAGACATTGGTGAGTATTCTAGCCGAGATGGAAGTGATCCCATGTAGACAATATACACCTTCATGAATTATATTATACCATCATGTATGATGTATTAGATTCAGATAATAATAAAGATAAACGAAATACTTGATACAATGATACCTGTTTCTCTTGAGGATCATCTGTAACTGCTAAGACTGAACTCAAGAACAAGACGAGGACACATGCGAGGAGACAAAATGAGTTCGCTGGTAATTTCTCCATTTTCTAATAAAATAGAGTAATCTGTAAATTTCTATGGGATATACATATGATATGATGTATATACAGTAGAAAACTCCTCTGATTCTGTTTCTCATTGAACATTGACCTCTTTTAGTCAACATTCTATTTATATAATTAGTTTCTTGTTGAAAACTAAAATATCTTAACTTATTTAATTTTCTGTTGAAGTGATTTCCTTATTTGTCACCATTACATTCATTGTGGACATGGTAAGATGCATAAATATATAGTAGAAAATCATCTGATTTTGTTTTTCTTATTGCAATTATATTAACACTAGGTAATAATCTGCATCTTGCGCGAAATGAT